TTCTTTCTTTCTTTCCTTTTCTTTTCTTTCTTCTTTTTCTTTCTTTCTTTCCTTTTTTTTTTTTTTTTTTTTGAGATGGGGTCTCACTCTGTTGCTCAGGCTGGAGTGCAGTGGTGCGATCTTGGCTCACTACAACCTCCACCTGCCAGGTTTAAGCAATTCTGTCTCAGCCTCCCAAGTAACTGGGATTACAGACATGCACCACTATGCCTGGCTAATTTTTGTATTTTTAGTAGAGACAGTGTTTTGCCATGTTGGCCAGTCTGGGCTCTAACCCCTGACCTCAGATGATCCTCCCACCTCGGCCTCCCAAAGTGCTAGGATTACTGGCGTGAGCAACCGTGCCCAGCCCTTTTCTTTTTTTTTTCCAAGACTTCCCACCATTGAGTATACTCTGTTAGGTGCTCATGCATGTCTGTTGCTTATTGTCTTTCTCCTCCTATTAGATTGTTAGCTCCATGAAGGCAGAGATTTTGTTTCTTCTATCTATTGATGAATGCTAAAGTATAGTACCTGACACAGTAGTAGTTTGGTCCATATTTAATGAATGAATGAGTAATTATGAACTGTGAAATGTGCTAGGAAGGAAAAGTAAGAACACAATTATAGATGATCATAATAGATCCGTAGCAGGTAGGATTTGTTGAGCCTGGATGTTGTACCTCTGTGCTAAGGGCTTTGCTTCTTTTTGTCCTATTTAATCCTTACAGCAATGTTAAGAGATAGCTCCGTATAATATCCCATTCAATAGTGAAAGAAACTGAAGCACAGAAAGTTTAATTGCCCAAAGGCTCCCAGCTGGTGTATTACCTACCTCTAGTTAGCTCTAGCACCAGTAGCCTCTAACTAGTAAATCTTTTGGAATTTACCAAGTTGGGGATGGTGAGTGATGGGGAAGCATATTTTATTATTAGTCATGCTCTCCTCAGAGTGTCTTTATTGAATTGGACAGTGCTTACTGTTAATTTCCAGATAAAGTAGGCTGGGTGTGTGGGGGGGGTGCTTTTGCTGTTAGTCAACCCTGCGTGCATCCCCAGAAATGCATTCTGTGTTTTCTTTTTCTTACTGTTTAAAATCAGATATCTCTGTCCTTTCCAAAAGGGGAAGCCATCTGGACTTCTGTCCAGGGGAAGTTGGGTGGTTTCCCATATTCTCTTCCAGGATGATACAATGACGTGGCCCTTTGAGGAGCATACCTGGTATTTCCACTACCCCATAGGAAGGTGGCAATGCCTGCTCAGCCGGGAGTTTCAGGTTAATGCTTCTTTCATAGATACTAGGTTGATAGCAGAATATTTATTCCTTTGTCCTGTGGTATCTTGGACAACCAGGCCACAGCCCCTGGAAGTCACTTCTAGGACATGTCCACTTCTGTCTCCCAGGGTGGTCTCTGCCCTCAGGGATACAGAACACGCCTCACCTGATGGAGGCTGCTGTCAGATGTCTGGCTGAATTTTGTGGGTTTGGGCCTAGTCCTGGCCACCAGTGGGTGGCCTGTTCTAAGCATGAAACTGCCATGTCTTCCTCCCCAGGAACTGTATTTGTTTTCTTTTTTCTTTTTTTTTTTGGTGTTCGTTTTCTATGCTCTGTAATAAATTATAACGAATTTCATGGTTCAAAATGGTACATATTTATTATCATATGGTTTCTGTAGCTTATCAGGGTTCTTCGCTTCAGGATTTTATCAGGCTGTAATATCAGTGTTGGCTGGGGCTGCAGTCTCATCAGAGACTCAACTGAGGAAAGCCCCACTTCCAGTCTCCCTCAGTTTGTTGGCAGGATTCATCTCCTTGTAGTTGTAGGACTGGGATCTCTGTTTTTTTGCAGCTGTTAGCCAGGGGCTATCCGTAGTTTCTTGCCATGTGGCTCTCTCCTTCTTCCTGACAGCTTTCTTCTTCAAAGCCAGTAAGAGATTCTCTAGCTCAGAGGGAGTCATATAACCTAAAGCCATGACAGGAGCGACATCCATCACCTTTACCATGTTTTATTGAGTAGACACAAGTCACAGGCCCTGCCCCGACTCAAAGGGCTGGATTGCCCAAAAGTGTGAACACCAGGAGGTGGGGATTTTGGGGAGGGTCATCTTAGGGTGTATTTGCCACAGCAACCATGGTCCTCCCACCACCACCTCACTTCCCCACCTCCAGTGCTGAGAAGCCCAGAAACTCCCTCTGGCAGCCCTAAAGGACTTTGCTAGTGGATTTAATGCTGTTTTTCATAGGATTAGTGGCAAGGAGAGAGTTTCTGTGTGACTGGGCCTTCTGCCTTCAGCTCCTCCTCTGTGAGGCCACAGCTGCACCATCACAGAGTGCTGACTTCAAGGCTTGGCAGCCAGCATCTGTCCTCGAGGGGTTTAGGGATCTTTCCCCCTTCCTGTCCCTTTCAGTCATTCTTCAGTGTTATAATCCTTTCATTTCAAATTGAGGAGCTAATTCTCAAAGGCAGGGGAATGCCTATTACTTGCTCACGTATTCCCCAATATGCATTGGATTTGCTTTTCCAAGAAACCATAGGCTGAGATGTAATTTTCCATGGTTCATCTAAAAAATTTGTAATGCCTATTTTTCTTGATCTTCTGTGCTCCTTTCAGTTCAAATGTAACTGAGTTAATTATTTGATTAAATGAACCAGAGCTTCCTTTCTTGTTATGGAACTTCTTGTTCCAGAACCAAAGATGGTACTTATTAGATTCTGTGCTAAAGATGATTCCCTAGAATCGATCTGGGCTGTGAGTTGCTTACAGACAGACTTGTCTTCCTTTTGTTCATCCTATGAACGTTGTACTTAATGGACACAGCATTGACTTGGTCTTTTCGTTTGAAAAGTTTTTTAGTCTATTCGTTTGAAATCTCAATGGATATTTCTAAATAACCTCATATAGACTGACATTAGTTTCCATGTAACAGAGCAGCTGGATTTTAGATTTTAGAACCCCCTTCCCTCATCCTGATTTTTGTTGTTTGAGACCTCACATGATACGTATGACAGTGTGTCTTGACCAAGTCTTCTTTTTCAAAAGTCTGGAATCATCTGCCTTAGTTCCTCTTAATAGGTCTTTTGTTTAGGGAGGAAATTAAAACATGAGTCTAGTCTCTGACCAAGTATTAAGGCAAAAAGGTTAGGGTTCAAAATTGGTTTATTCTTTTGGAATTAGTTTGTCCCAGATTGAAATCAGTTTATTCTTTTACATTTTGAATGTGTGCACCACAGTGCCCTACCTTTGGAAGGGTATGTTAGAAGGAAAAATAACAATAAGCTACTGAAGTTTGCTTATCAAATCACAGTGGCACACTTGGGGAAAACCAAATCCTCTTTCATTTTTTTCACTTTTAAATTTAAGGTGAATCATACACAGATGGTTAATGGTAGCCTAATTGCTTTTAATGCTATATAAGAATCTTAGAAATTCATTTAAAATGTTACAGCAAATACACAGTTAGAAACTGGTGAGATGCATGTACCTCAGGAGTTCAGTGTGGAAGCACCTGCTGTATGGATTTTCTGGACAGTCCTGCTCTCACAGGGGCTGCAGGGGCCCCTCTTCGGTAGAGCAGCCTCATAAGTGGGCCAGGAGGGCTCTGCTCCCTCCTCCACCAGTGCAAATGAACTGTGTACGTGAGCCCTGGACAAGGAGCTGGGAACCTTGGTCTCTAATTCCCACTCCCCAATACCACAAGCCACCCAGGAGAGAGAGCACATTCTGCCAGCCCGTAGCTGCAGTACCACTCTTGTTGCCATATGCCTGGCTGGGCCAAGGAATCCCCTTCAATTTCTGACAACCACGTGGCTTCCGCTAGAGTGTGGTACAGGAGCCCTGCCTGTGAATGGCTGTGAAGTGGTGGAATTCCCTCCTGGTGAGCTCTTGCTGCTGGCTGTCCTGAATGGGTGCAGTTCTGAACTGTGCTGTATCACAGGGATGTCTGTGTGGTAGTGCTTTGGAAGGCAGTCCGTGTGTGCAGAGATGGCAGGGTGTGCTGGGAAGCCTCTCCTTTGACAGCAAGACCGCAGGCCTTCACCTCAGACAGCCCTTTACACCCACACTGTTTGCCCAGAATTTCTTTTAGTTGCATGGTAGTCTTTCTTTAATGCATCTTTAATTTCGATAGATTTCGTCAAATTGCCCTCTAAAGGGGTTGAACCCTTTTAAAGTCTTTTTAAAATTAATTTTTAATTTTCTAAGTGATATAGGAATATATCCTTTTCATTTAAAAATGAAAAAAATTAGGGATTATGGCTAAAGTCACTTTTGATCACCACCCCCACATCCATACCATAATCACCTAGCCCCAGTTCCCACATAAGCCCTCCCCATTCCCCAGGGGTACCTGCTATTATTGGTTTGGTGTATGTCTTGCTTGTTCTTTGTCTGTGCCCTGGCAGATATAAACCAATGGGAAATAGACATTACTGGAGTGAGCGTTTGTATGTGTGTGTGTGTGTGTGTGTGTAACATGTAAGCTGTATTGTACCAAACCCATCATTCTATAATGATGTGTTTTACACGATGCTGCATCTTGGAGGTCTTTCTATGATGTGGATCTGTATATATTAATTGAGTAGTTTCCATAAACTATTTTTCATCAGTGCCTTTTTGGCATTACTTTCAGGAAAGAATTTGGGGCTTCATTAAAGACCCAGTGATTCTTTTTTTAAAAAAAATAATATGCATCTGGGCACATGACTCACGTCTGTAATCCCAGCACTTTGGGAGGCCAAGGCGGGCGGATCACCTGAGGTCAGGAGTTCCAGACCAGCCTGTCCAACATGGTGAAACCCCGTCTCTACTAAAAATACAAAAATTAGCCAGGCGTGGTAGTGGGCGCCCGTAATCCCAGCTGTTTGGGAGGCTGAGGCAGGAGAATTGCTTGAACCCGGGAGGTGGGGGTTGCAGTGAGCCAAGATCGCATCATTACATTCCAGCCTGGGTGACAAGAGTGAGACTGTCTCCAAATTATGCAAGATATTAATCTGTTTGTGTGTGTACTTTTCTTTCTCTTCAGATCTCAGAAGAATGATCTTCACAATGAAGGCTATATCTTGGAATTAGATTGCTGTTCCTCCTTAGACCACCTGACAGACCAGAAACTCATCCCAGAGTTCATTAAGAAGGTGAGCGCTGCAGTCAGGGTACCGTTGAAGAGGTTTGCGAGTGTTCACCTGAGTGAACAGGCAGGGAGCTGGCTTAGGGCAGAGGCCATGCAAAAGCTGTGACCTAAACCTTGGGCAGCGCCACAGGGGAGCAGCCGTCTCCAGAGCGGACTCTGGAACAAGATGGCTAACCCCTCCTCCCCAGGCATGCAGGAGCCTGGGTCCTGTCTTTCCCAGCTGGAGTGGGGTTAACGGCTGACAGAGCTGCAGGCCAGCGCCAGGCCTCCTTTCAAACCCTCAAGGTGATGTGACTTCCCAGACCCCACCTTCCTTTTATCTGTGGGTCTTCATTGCTGCAAGCCCCCTTCCCTTCCTAGTGTGGGAGCATGCCAGAGTCCTGGGCCACCCACATTCGATCGTACCAGGGAAAACTGCCTAGTTGTAGGGAATTCATATCTGCCCAGAAATATGTCTGGTTTTGAACCTTTCTTCATGCCATATGAGGTTTTGTGCCCAACCGTAGGGTCTACTTGAGTTTTAATAGGACATTTACTACAGAAGGAATGTCCCAGCCCCAAACTGGGGCTGAGTTCACTGCTTGATGCTTATCTTGTTCTTTCTTACCCAGTGTTCCCTAGTAATTGACAATTCCCCACCCCATACAGGTGATTGTGATTTGAGGTCCAATCAGCCAATTAGGGAATTTGTTAATAAATATTGTCAGCTGTCAGCTTTGGGCCAGGAATAGTACCAGATGCTGGGATACAGAGACTAAAACAGCCGAACCTAGTGAGTTTTACTAGCGGGAAGTGGCCGGAGCTGAGGAGCAAGGGGATCCAGAAGGTACCTGAAGCCGAGATGGGAAGGATGACGGGGTGTCTTTGGGGATGCGGCTGTGCTCGGGTAGGCTGGGGAGCCCTCCAAACAGGGAACAGTGTACATGAGGGCCTGAGGCAGGAGGGAGCGAGAGGAATCAAAAGAACACCGGGGGAGAGTGAGGGTCGGGAGAAGAGGCCAGAGACAGCTGGGACTGGACTGTAAAGGCAGCGGGAAGGCGTTGAGAGGAATTTTGTAGAACAGTGAAATGATTAGGTTGTCCCTTTAAAGGAGATTTGTTTCCCTGCTGCCACCCTCCCTTCAACATGTATTGAGTGTTCAGGCTCCGGGGACTCTGGGAGTAGCCACTCATGTATGGCTCATGTGTGGGTCTATGGGCCATAGACCAGGAGCCAGATGATCTCTGAGGTCAGAATTTCTGGTAATTTTACGAGGATGAGGGAGGTTCTTTCTACTCTGGTAGAATTCAGATTATTATTTAAGAAATGGGGGGTGGGGCAAGTAGCTTTTGTTCACATATGCATAAGCCTGAGAACACAAGTGTTTTTATAACTGATGTAGCTTTCTATAGAAATAGAGCCATCTTTGTTTGGATTGCTGCAAATAATCAACTTGTATAGGGACATTCTAGAGATAGAATTTACCCTATGATCTGAATACCAGGAAAAACTCATTTTAGAAATGGTTTTGTAATTAAGACTCAGATGCTTGGAATATTTGAGGGGTTAGCGGGTAAAAGGAAGGCATGAGGCTCTGCCCACTCTCAAATATGCTCTTTAAAAACATGTGATTTGAGGCTGGGCACAGTGGCTCAGCCTGTAATCCCAACACTTTGGGAGGCTGAGACAAAAGGATTGCTTGAGCCCAGGAGTTTGAGATTAGACTGGGCAACATAGTGAGACCTCCATCTCTGCGAAAAAAGAAAAAAAAGTCTTTTTAAAAAGCCAAGCATGGTGGTGCTTGACTATATTCCTAGCTACTCTAGAGGCTAGGAGAGGCGGGAGAATTGCTTGAGCCCAGGAGTTTGAGACCACAGTGAGCTATGATTGCACCACTGCACTCCAGCCTGGGTGACAGAGTAAGACCCAGTCTCTTAAAAGAAAGAAAACATATGAGTTGATATGAGTTGGTGACTTTGTCTTAACCAAATTAGGGCATTGCATGACTGACCCATTGAGACAGTGGTCCTGTCTCAGTTCTTTAGGAAACAGCCCGATTTGCGGGCTACTGGGGTATCGTTTCTGTAGTACCCAAGTAGAGATGTACATCTGTCCAATGGAAAATGCCTTCAAAGTTAGGGTTTTTATGCCCTGAAGGACATTAGCCAGTCTTTATTTTAACTTTTATACCAGCATTCTTTTTTTCCCCACTGAGTGTGTGTGTATACACACGTGTATCTGATGATTCATCAGGTAGTTTGTTAAGTAAATGACACCTGCGCATTCTGTATTTGTAGAATAAGTCCTTAACACTGTCAGTAGGTTCTTGGAAACTGACTTTTAGTGAAACAGCATGCAGCAGGTCCTCAATTTCATTCAATGTGGTTTAGTTTTAACCTTGAGAAGAAAATTGGTTTTATTTGTCATTTTGCTCAAAGTCTCAGTTTCCAGGAACCTATTGATAACATTAAGTGAATACTTATAGTATAAGAATTCTGTTCTTAACGTTTTGAAAATAATATGCTTTAAAGCCCATCATATCATCCTGCTACTGTTATACACTTGGTTTTTAAATAAGACAGACTGGACAGCTTGCACACCAGGGCAGCAGTGAGATTTCTGACCTGGAGTGCCTCCAGATGTCTATCCCAGAGTTCCATCTCTGTTCCTCTAAACAGAAATGTGGCTTATGGTCATTCCTGCCTTGGAGGAGCCAGGTGTGTTGAGGTTGCCCCTCCATTAGCCCCCGCATTGTCTGTCAGTGGACAGGGCTGGACTTGGAAAGACCCAGCATTTCTCGCTGTCATTGCTGGCTGTGGTTTTAGTTTCTAGTCCAGTTGCCATGACAACAAGAAGTGGGATAAAATAATGGGACTGGGCCCCCTTCCCCCTACTCCTCTCTTCTGTTGCTGGCCGTAATTTCTAAAGAAAATACCACCTCTGTGTGCAAAGAGCAGAGGACAACTCCATGTACTTCTCCAGTGCCCAGGGCTATTCCAACTGATGGCTGAATTTTACATGTGTAAATTTTTCTGTCATCACACCAGGTAGAAGACCACAGGTGCTTCCCAGGAAGAAGAACGCTAAAAACCATTTGTGGGTTTTTTTCATTGCAAATATTTAATGAATAGCTTTGGCCGTATTTATATATATGTAGTGGTGACACTTGTTAATTGCCGTTCAGTTAGGTCAAGATGAAGCTGTGTCATTGGTTGCCTTAGATGCAGTCATTACTTTCTATCTGGGTCATTATTTTGTGTGAAATAATGGCTCCTATTCCTATGACAAGTAGATTCATCTTAGGATGAGATGGTAATTAACTCGTTTTGTCATAGTACCATCATGCAGGACAGGTTCATAGTCTTCTCTGCAGATTAGAATTAAACTCAAAATGATTAGATTTTTTTATAAGAACAATGCCCCAGTATTATTTTTCCACCAAATGTTTTAAATTAGCAGAACCTTTGGATAGAGGACACGGATAGGAGGGAAAGAAGATTTCATTATTTCTCACAATTAGGAAAAGTAAAGTCATTTGTGTCTGTATCATGTAAAATTAGCTGAAGACGCCGTAATTTACGCCCCTCTCCATCATGACTTTTCAGAGAGTGTGAAGGGAGTTGTGTAAAGATGACGATGACTCCATTCCTTTTGATGTGGTCTGACACTTTCTCTGAGTGCTCTAGCTGGTCAAATGAAATCTACGTTACTGCTTTTTGTTTTCTCCTGTTGTGTCCTGCTGTGCTCCATCCTACTGGCCCTTTATGGAAATTAGTTATTATGGACAACAGAACATTTAAAATGCAGAGTTATGGGCAGACTTGGAGACATTTTGTTTCTAAGTCCTAGAGCCGAATGCTTGAGGGATGAAGAATTGAGAAGCTGTGAGAGAGTGATGGTGCTGCCAGAGTTCCTTTGGTATGAGGGCTCAACCAGCCCATCAGGTGCACCCAGAGACTGTGTGGCTGGCAGATCTGTGGGGGCCTCTGGAATTTCGCACTCCTCAGAGCTCCTGGGGGATTGTGAAGCAGAGTGACACAGAATGAAGAGCCTACGTGTTCATCTGCAAATTGCTGTTCATTCATGAGAGCGTCTATGGGAAAGGCCTACAGTTTGGAGAGCACCTTGAAGTTTTCAGTCATTGGGCACACTTTCTGGCATGTGCTTCTGGTCTCTCAAACGTTCCGTGTGAGAGACCAGAATGACAGTGGAGTCTGCCTTCTAGACACCAGGAAGCTAAGCTCGAGCGGGCAGAGGGGTTTGTCCAGGGGCTGGAACTGCTAAATGATGGAGCCTGGATTAGATCCTCCATAGGAGAGGCATGAGTGGGTAGCCAAGGGTCTTCAGAGTGGCCAGAAGGTTCTTTGGCTAGGTGGACCGGAGAGAGCTTCGGAGAGGTATGAAATGAGGGCTCTGCAAAGTGAGGGACTGAGACTGGAGGAGACTGAGAGGCGAGGTGGGCAGCTCTGTGCTATTGCTGGCGTGGACAGGAGCATGGGCTGAAGGCATAAGGCTGAGGAAGAGCCAAGTCCTATCTGGCTTGAGTGTGGGATGGACAAAGAGAGAAGGAAGCCTATTCTGGGTGGGCTTCCTTTGATTACGTGGAGCAGAGCCCTAGTCCGGCGAGCTCCAGTGAGTCAGGTGAGTTTACTGTAAAGATGTAGGGAATGGCATGGAGCCCCAGGGCAGAAATACAGAAAGCCAGGAGAAAAACAAACAAAAATAAATATGGGTGTGTCTGTCTCTCATATGCTGCTGGCCCATATTTGTGTTTCTATGGTTTATTTAAATTTAAAATGAGATTTTACTCTGCAGAGGGAATCCTCTTTATGCATCAGGCAAATCTTATGCTGAAGTGCTCATGTCCACTCTACCTTTAACCCTCATCTCTCGCCTGTGAAGACTTATCCTCATTTGACAGATGAAACTGAGACACCGAGAAACTATGCACTTTGCCCAAAGTTATAACTGCGCATGGCAGGAGTGGGATATGAACCCAGCCTGTTGGACCCAGAGACCACGTTC